AGGGTGGTTTGCATTAATATTAGACGTAATTGGTTGAAGACTGTGCCACCTCAGTCAACCGTGACCATGGGACCTGTAAAGGGTCCGAAACGTCGGTTTCTTTGAAAAAACAAATATACTCAATTTAAATCCGGAAAAATTGTTTCATTTTCTATGATACATTGTTATTTGAAGGTGGTATAGTGAATGTTCGAGGGCGACGCATATATTGAGTAGGAACGCTGAAATGTACCCCATCCTGCAGTCCCACACCTAGAGTCTCATTAGCAACTCTGTGAAGCATAATCTGGAAGTTTATTACGCAGACCAAACTTGTAACAAAGGTGCCCGAGAAATTTAGTTTGTTACTATTCTGTCTATTTGAGTATTGTATACAAAGGGCCAGATGATTATTGATGATTGAAGAATGCCGATCCTGTAAGTTCCTTCACTTGAACGGGTTCTCCTGCCAGGTACGGGTTTAGGCCATAGTCCGCCATGATGGGTCAATGCGGGTTTGGGACTTCACACGTTTTTCGAGGTTTGTGAACCTTCTTCGACGTGCAGTTTTTATTACGATATTTTGCTTCACCGACAAGCTCATGACACATTTCAATTAAATTAAATTTCGCACATAAATTCCGAGATTCGAACCTCTTCTGCTCGACAAGCCAAACCATTAGGCTACCACGGCTTATTTTATTTATAAAAACTCGTTATTTTAAGCGTCACCTTCAGTTTTATCAATGCCATCCACAAATTGTTACTACGTATTTAATTACCTTTTAGAAAACAGTGATTCCATTAATTCGTAACTAGTTTAAGTATACGTCGTTACAAAGGTAACTTGTGTTAATGAGCGGAAACTTAATGATAAGTCTGTGGTTCTTAGTGTTTGGAGTCGTTAATTCGGTTTTTTTCACCTTGGTCTTTAAAGTTTTAGGTTTTGCGGTTCACGTACCCTTAAATATATATACCTATCTATAATTATGTATGTTTAATAATTGCTTCATCTGTTTTCAATATGTTGGAACTGCTTTAAAATTGTGCAAATGACATTTTGTTTTGACAAAAATACTAATTTATGGAGATAGTTGGTAAAAAAATTTTAGTAATGTTTAATAAAAACGCACTACGATGTTGTACCGCGAAAGCTGGTATATGAAACTTTTTCTTACGTACTGGTGGCATATACTATAGTGCTTATCATCGTGGTGTAACTATTTTTAAATAGGCGTAATGTACACCCCGATTGTTGCCCAGGGTGCGCCTTCCTATATTTATGGGTGGTGTGACGTACAGTAGGGATGTAAGGGGGCACACACCATCACAGCTCTTATTGTCAACCTCACCTGCACGCGGTACATCCTGCAGTAACCGACGAGGCTCTGGCGACCGGTAGTAGGCGGTATAGCCCTTCCCCACATTGGCGCTGTCAAATCTGCTGGCTACCGACGGGCAGCAGCGTCGGTAGTACAAAGGCAGCGCCCTGCGATCTCCAACCCGCATGCCCAGCGTGGAGATTATGGGCAATAATCCCCTTCATGGACGGCACAACCAATCGAAGGCCCCCAGTTCCCAGTCGCCCCGCTATTCCTGGTCACGGTAGCGGCCATGGTACCGGCGGGGTAGGGGGTGCTAAGAATCCCCGGGCTACCGCAGGCTACCAAAAACAACTGACCCTGGCTACGTTTAACGGACGAACTCTTAGGCTTGACGAACACCTTGCACAGTTGGAAGTGGAACTGGAGAACATTAGATGGCATGTTCTGGGGCTGTGTGAAGTCCGAAGAGAGGGAGAGGACACCATAACCCTAGACTCGGGCCATCTACTGTACTTCCGCGAGGGTGATCAAACATCCCAAGGTGGTATAGGATTCCTCGTCAACAGAGTCCTCTCTAACAACGTTGAAGAGATTTCCAGTGTGTCGAACAGGGTAGCGTACCTGATCCTTCGGCTATCAAAAAGGTATAGCCTGAAGATCATTCAGGCCTACGCACCGACCTCGACACATTCGGATGACGATGTAGAAGATATGTACGAGGACATATCGAAAGCCTTACACAACACCACCAAGGCTCACTTCAACGTTGTTATGGGGGACTTTAACGCTAAAGTGGGATTCCCAAATCTTGACGAGTCTCGAGTCGGCCCGCATGGTTATGGAGTAAGGAATCACAGGGGGCAAACGCTAGTCAACTTCCTCGAGCACGAGGGGCTCTTCTTGATGAATTCGTTCTTCAAGAAGAAGCCTCAAAGGAAGTGGACTTGGCGAAGCCCCGACGCTGTGACTAAAAATGAGATCGATTTCATCCTGACGGACAAGAGACACATATTCAGAGATGTCTCAGTGATCAACAGGTTTAGCACCGGATCTGATCACCGACTTGTACGAGGCTCTCTGAATATCGATGTCAAACTTGAAAGAAGCCGCTTGATGAAGTCCACGCTCCGTCCTAATCCACTCCAGATCATGGCGGGCTCCGAGAAGTTCCATGAACTTCTCGAAGCGAGATTCGTCGAGCTGGAACCCACCGAGGACGTTGACGAGGCCCTACAAGGCGTGGTTGGGACGCTGAGAAGCGAGGGCATCAAATTCTGTCAATTGCAGCGTACGGGAAAGAAGTCTAAACTCTCGGATGAGACTCTGCGACTTATGACGAAAAGACGCGATGACATCCAGGCCACTTCGTCAGAGAGGTCATACCTAAACAAGCAGATTGCGAAGATGGTACGGCGTGACCTTCGGAGCTCCAATACACGCCTCATTGAGGAGGCGATAGAGCGAAACCGAGGGTCCAAAGCATTCACTCAGCAGCTTGGAAGGAGCCACCTGACGAAGCTTACAACGCACGATGGCCTAACCGTTACGTCAAGGCAGCAGATACTCGCCGAGATAGAGGACTTCTATGGCCGTTTGTACGCTGTAAATGCTCCTCGGGTCCGGCGTGACAATCACGATTTGAGAGCCACCTTGACGCGCCACTATACCGACGACCTGCCAGAAATCAGTCAAGACGAGATCGTGTTGGCTCTAAAACAGCTTAAAAATGGAAAAGCCCCCGGTGAAGACGGAGTTACTTCGGAGCTTTTGAAGTCTGGAGGAGTTCCTATTATCCAGGAACTTCAGAAGCTCTTTAACTTGGTCATTCACTGCGGGAGAACTCCACGGGCGTGGAACAGGAGTATTGTAGTTCTCTTCTTTAAAAAGGGAGATAAAACTCTACTGAAAAACTACCGACCCATCTCACTCCTGAGTCACGTCTACAAGCTGTTTTTTAGAGTCATCACGAATCGCCTCGCAAGAAGACTCGACGAGTTTCAGCCACCGGAACAGGCCGGGTTTCGGGGAGGATATGGCACCATAGACCACATACACACAGTGAGGCAGATTATACAGAAGTCCGAAGAGTATAATCGGCCCCTGTGTTTAGCTTTCGTGGACTATGAGAAGGCCTTTGACTCTGTCGAAACCTGGGCTGTCCTGGAATCCTTACAGCGGTGCCAAGTGGACTATCGTTATATACAAGTGTTGAGATGTCTTTACGATGCTGCTACCATGAGTGTCCAAGTACAGGACCAGCAGTCTGAACCTATCCAATTACGCAGAGGGGTGAGACAGGGGGATGTCATATCCCCGAAACTGTTCACCGCTGCATTGGAGGATATGTTTAAGACGCTGGACTGGAAAAGGATGGGCATTAACATAAACGGCGAGTACATCTCACACTTGCGATTTGCAGATGACATAGTCCTAATGGCAGAATCGCTGGAGGAACTGGATCAGATGCTGAACAGCCTAGCATCCGCCTCGCGGCGGATTGGTCTTGGCATGAACTTTGATAAAACCAAAGTCATGATCAATGACCACATTGATCCGAGACCCATCTGCGTCAATGGCCACCTTCTTGAAGTTGTTTCCGAATACACTTACCTCGGGCAGATTCTGCAGTTAGGTAGAAATAACTTCGAGAAGGAGGCCAGGAGGAGGATTCAGCTTGGCTGGGCAGCGTTTGGGAAGCTACGTCGAGTCTTTTCGTCACCCATCCCGCAGAGCTTAAAAACAAAGGTTTTCAACCAGTGCGTCCTACCAGTTCTAACGTACGGAGCTGAGTCGTGGACACTCACGATACGGCTAGTCCACCAGTTTAAAGTCGCTCAGCGAGCTATGGAACGAGCTATGCTCGGAGTTTCTCTGAAAGATAAACTCCGTAATGAGGTTATCAGACAGAGAACCAAAGTGATCGACATAGCTCTTCGGATAAGCAAGCTGAAGTGGCAGTGGGCTGGACATATCTGCCGAAGAACCGACAACCGCTGGGGTAAACGAGTTCTTGAGTGGAGACCACGACTTGGCAAACGTAGTGTGGGACGCCCTCCTGCCAGATGGAGTGACCATCTGCGGAAGATTGCTGGCAGGAAATGGATGCGTCAAGCCGAGAACAGGGCGAAATGGCGTGCATTAGGGGAGGCCTATGTCCAGCAGTGGACTGCAATAGGCTGATGATGTGACGTACAGAAAAGGAATGAATGGTACGACATGCGGATAGGCTCCTAGGAAACAAGCTTTACAGATCATTGGATTTAGGACTAAATATTTCAATTTCATACTTTAAATTCTAAATGTTTTCCAATGATATTGTAAAATAGACACAAATTGATGGTTAATTAATATTCAAACAATATTGAAATTGTTGAAATGTTCAGAGAGTATTATGCAATGTGCGAATTAATACGTGGTAACACTGTGAATAAATGATTGATGTAAATGAGCGGATAGAATGGTTGGAAGATGTTTTGAGGAGCGAATGGTTGGAGTGAATGAAAGTAAATTTCGAGAGACGACGTTGAAGGTGTAAGGTGTTTTTAGTTTGTTTTCTGATTTCATTTAAAATAAAATATTTAAACCAGTTTAATAGTTTACTGTCTTCCACATGATCCCACATAAATGTTTAATAATACATTGTTTATACAAACATAACAAATCGCCGAAGGAGTAAAGCCCATTCCCAGGTCATTTATGCCTGGCATTGTAAAACTACACGGGCATTATGTTCATTCCTTCCTCGAACCTGCAAGATGTGGAATGATCTCCTTCGTGAAGTACCTATTTGCTTTGCGCTATGACAAGGTGTTCTTCGAAAAGCGTGAAAAGCGCTCGCCGCTACTGGTGAGTCCTGTTGGCGCTGTGTCCTATGGATTGTAATGTACATTCCACTTGGAATATTTTGTAGATTATAACGTAGCCATGATAGTAGTAGTAGGCTCCGCAGCCTCCGCAACCTCCATACTCTTGCTTAGTATGTTTCAAGTTCCAAATTCAAAAGGGTACAGATATGGTGGTAATAAATCCAGTTTTATAAATACTAGTCCCGTTTTATTAATACTTGTGATTTTTATAATGCTTATTGCACAAGATATTTTTCGTAACTGGTAAATAGTTAAAAAAAATAACGCGAAGACGTGTTCGCTGCCGCGATCGGGCAGGGAGTGGCGGTGGAACGAAACAAAATCAGAATGTGAGGCAAAAGAACTATGGAATAATTTAAATTTGGATACGAGTGGCCAGGAACCGGAGAAAGGCGATATAAAGGTGGGATGACGATGTAAGGAGGTCACGCAGTCACGGGCGTATTAATAGGGCTCTCAAAGGCTGGCAGCGCATAGGTAGCTCATGTGATGTTGCAAATGTCCATGGGTGATCATGGACATTTGCAAACCCATCAAGTGGCTCGTTTGTCTCCCATTCCATGTAAAAAAAATATTATATGTATGTATATATACATTGTATTATTAAAATGAATGTACGTATTAAGTATAATTATGTAGATATTCATAAGGCTATTGATCATATTTCAATGTTATTTTTTTCACTTTTTTCTCGTATTGTTTTTCTTTAAACTGGGACTGAATTATTTTGTTTTTATTCTTAGTACTTTTTAATTAGTTAATATGTCCGCTGTTAATAATTATTTTAGTGGTTAATTGGAATTGGCCTATCCAAAAAATGCAATAAGTATGTTAAGGTTAAAATTGTAGTATAGCTGTTGTTATCCCAAATAAAGTAATAACAACTTTTTAATAAAAAAAATGTGGAATTACATCTATTTGCCACGTTTTATCGCAATCAATAGCGGGGAGTTGGTGAAATCCAATAAACTGGGTTCATCCCCTAATTTGCAACCCTTATAATATTAGAATATTTTCTTCAAATTGGAATGGCATCACTACTAAAGTACCCCCTTTCTAACAAAAAAAGAATCATCGAAATCGGTTCACATATTTTTTATAACGCCAAGTGACGGGACGTACAAGTCGTGCGCCTGGTGGTAAGCGATCTGTCCATAACAGTTGCAGTAAGATCTACGGGTATTGCCATTGCACCCGTCACCACGAGACATTAGTTGGCAAGTCCCAAGTGCATGTAATTTCACCAGCCTTACCATTCCAAACCGGATCGCAATAATGCTCACATTACTGTTTTGTGTCAGAAATAGGTAAGGTGGCAGTACTTCCCTTGGACGAACTCTTTTATGAGGAGAGTAATCACGTAACATATAAAAAAAATACAGTCAAGTTGCTAACTTCCTCCGTCTTTTCATGTCGGTTAATAAAATAAGCGATTCCCAACGCTTCATGATTAATGTAGCCATAAAAAATGTAATCAATTCAACTATAACTCCTAATGATTCAAATTTGTCTACTTATACAGCGGACTATACTAATCAAGTTTAACCTGTCAGTCTTCTAGTTACCCTCCACACTAAGTCAATCAATGCCTCCACAGGTCATAATTTTGTAGTAATTAAAATTTCACATTTTGTTTTCGCTTGTAATTGCTCAATAGCTTCATGTAGCCATAAAAAAACGTAATCATTTGAACTATAACTCCTAATGACTCCAATTTGTCTACTTAGACAGCGGACGAAAATACACTTCCAAGTTTGACCTCTGCTGCCTAACGTATAATGATTTACGAGTAAAGTTCAAAAGGAACATAATATTTGTCCTTGACTTTAACAAGGTGAGAGTTTAATGGTTCTTCGATAATCAGTATCTTTTATAGAGACGTTATAATTTATAGGATACACACTGACCTAATGCCCGTGGCATAACGTGTTTAATAGAATTGCTATAAATCGTATGCCATAACAAGCTGTTGTCAAAGTTTCGTCTCATTTCGGTTTTAAACGAATGTATGACTGTTTGTTACTTTTATATTAGATAAAATTAATAAATAAGGAAATAAACACGTGACACGGACACACCACATACGTTGCTCTGATCCCAAAGTAAGTAGCCAAAGCAATTGTGTTATGGAAATCGGAAACAACGATGGTCCACAAACACCCAAATCCGAGACAATATAGAAAAAATGGTTTTTAAATTTGACCCGGCCGGGGATCGAACCTGGGATCTCAGAGGTGGCGACACTATGAAAACCGGCGTGCAAGCCACTCGACCATGGAGGTTGTCTAATACGTCTGTTGTAGCAGTAGAGCTCCTTGTGAAGAAAGGGTTCTTCCAGGGCAGTACTGCCATCTTACCTATTTCTGCTGCCAAGTACTAATATGACCATTACTACGTTCCGGTTTTGAAGGGCAAGGGTGCTGGTGAAATTACAGGCACTTGGGACTTGTCAATTTATGTCTCAGGGTGACAGGCGCAATAGCAGTGCCCCTCAGACCTTCGAGATTTAAAGCTTGGAATGGCAATGCAACTGTTATGGATTAGACACACGGTTTGTTCGTTCCGTCACTTGATATAAAAAAATGTAAACTATATAACTTTTTCATAAAAAAAAAACGTCCTTGTGATAAGCGGAATTACATCTATTTGCCAAATTTTATTGATATTAGTTAAAGTGGGTGAAATCAAATGAACCGTATTCGTTACCTAATTTGCCACCCTTAGAGATGGAATAATTTCTTAAAATTTGATTGGAATGACTATAGAGGTACCTCTTTGGAAAAAAAGGATCATCAAAATCGGTTCATAAATGTCAGAGAAATCGCGTAACATACACACAAAAAAATACAGTCAAATTGATGTCCTCTCTTTTCAAAAATAAAACTTAAAGTTCAGACATTTACACATTTTAGTGTAGTTTTTTCTATTAAAATATAAATCTGGCCTTTAAATGGCAAACAGAGTTTAATTTAGGTTGACAAACCATTTAGATTCATTCACGTGTTGTTTTCGTGATCAACGTAGAAAAATACTACAAACTGAGATCATTTCAGACAGGTCAAGGGCAGAGCTAATAAGACCATATTTGAATTTAAACGATATGTTGAGTTTATTAAAATGTAATTCAATGATTAATTTAAATTTATTTGATTAAATTCCGCTTAATAATGATGGGGGCGCTCTTGCGACCTTTAACGATGACACGTGATGGATGTGGACGAGATTAGTCGGAATAAAATTATGAGATTTTGGTTTCCTATTGAAGGATATTCCTCCATATATTTGAAAGCTTGAAAGCGAACTTCACTTATCATTTCGTTCGAAGAAACAGGTAGATTGGGCGAACATTGTAATATTTACTGGGTATATCTAAACATCGAACTTAAAGGTGGCTGTACGTAAACTCCTGTAGGGATGTTGTACACCGTCGATGGGAATTGTGTTTAGCTCAGTTAAACTATTCTTCAGCTATCTAATTCTTAGATTTTCGCGATTGTTAGAGCATTTGCGCACTACTACTACTAGCGATATTCATATTTTTTCGGATTGGAATCGGACTTAGTGCACAAGCTACATCCAAAGTGGATCCGAGTTTCCTAGATTTGTGCAGTCTCGGATTCGGAGCGAATACGTAGGAAATTGAACAATTTTTATTCGCAGGCGTGTAGCTTAACATCAGACAAACGACTTGTTCGTCCCGTCACTTGATGTTATAAAAAAAAATATGGTTACAGTTAGTCGTTAAGAGCCCGAAACGTTTGTTTGTTTGAAAAAAACAAGTATACACGACTAAATCAAAGAAATAAAATCGTTTTTTCTTTTTTTTACGTCACCAACTGATGTGACGGACAAGTCGTGCGCCTGGTAGTAACGATAATAATTGTAATGGCACTTATAGCTTTAAGTCACAAAGATTTAAGGGGCACTATCACTTTGCCCGTCACCCTAAGACATAAGTAGACAAGTCCCATGTGACTGTAATTACCTTTTAAAACGGAAATGCAGTTACGCTCCCATTACTCATAGGATTTGCAAAGGACCCAAACCTTCACAGACCTCAAGGTCACCTATAAGACAGACGTTGATTTATTTGGAAAAACACGCATACCCGGCTTATATTTGAAAAAATAGTTTCATTTCCTACCCGTTAGCTGTCATAATTAATGCAAGATTACCTCTAGCTGTTTTTTTGAGGCCAGGTACTTAAAGCGTTTCATAAAAGATATGAGAATTATAATATATGACATAACCTATACTACCTGCTACTAATACGAGGCTCCAATCCTCCTACATATTAATGTGACGTGTGTCCAAATATATAATATAATGTTCTGGCTACAAGACTTTGAAATGTTACCTAGTAATTTGTTGTTCTATAGGCTGATGCGTGATTTAAGGACAAAAATTGTTATAGAGTGACTGATTTTTTAAACAAATGTTGACAATAAAATTGCTGTTTGCTGTGTGCATTTAGGTGTTTAATATTAATAATTTATTAGATTTGACATTAGTACCTATTGATTGACTAAATATTATAGTTAGTCTAAATATATAATTAGTCTGATAGAACGTCCTAGTAATTTTTTAACAGCCCTTCACAAGGGCAGGATCAACGACTTCGTTTTTCAGAATTCGTTTCCGATAGATCACATCAATAGTCTATCGAATTATTAGTGGAATTTTAGAAAAACTATATAAAATTTAATTTATTTATTATCATGTTATTTTACTACAATGATTTTTTGCGAAAATGCTTCACTAGTTTATTGTTCATAGACACAAAGAGCGAACACTAAAACAATTTTTTTCGACCTGACTGTACTCAAACCAGTGTCTGTTGTCATGCCAGGACACCACTCTCATTGTAACTCAGTTGGTGAAGAGGGGTAACCCCGGCATAGCAACCGACTCTGGTTGGTGTCCAGACAGATAGAAGGATTTTTTGTTTGTGTTCGACCTTTGTATCGATAATAAAAACCAAACTTTGTTATGATTATGAACACAAAGATCGAAAACAGAAAAAAGTTTATTTATATTTTTTTTATTTGATCGAAAAGCGATATCTGAGTCAGTTGTGATACCTATAAAGGTATCGGCTGCGAGGAGTAGGTTAACCAATAATCTCTCACTAGATGTCATTCGCGGCGATGAATGCCGAAAGTTAGTGTAACGATCTATAACAAAAGCACAGGAGAATTTCGACGACTCGCTAACTATACCCGAGGCTCAGATAGTTAAAGCAATGCTACGGTGCAGCATGCTCGTGAGTTCAAGTCCCACCGGGTCAGAGGAAAAAAAAATTTTGTTCATAATAATATATGAAGTTTCTTAAATATCATTGGAACAGAGAAAGCCCTAATTTTGTTTATATTAAATAAATAAAACACCACGATTCGACATAGATTTTTTTTATAAAACATTAAATTAACGAAAACTCTAAATAACACAAAATTTACCAAATTATAAATACATTTGACAAAATTAATTAGCTCAGTAATAAAATAGAAAAAATTAACATTTTTAAAATTCAATAACCGGTATTATCTTCCATGACATTTGTACACCTGCAACCGTCATTCATACTTGGAATTCAAAGCAGTCAAAGACCAGTAGGGGTCGCGGTCTTATATTCTTATTAAATGCCTAAAAGTTCATCTTCTATGATAAATTTGAAAGAAATCGCTCAAAACTCTTTAGGAACTGTAATATAATAACGCACACATTCAATATAGCCTCGCACTAGGGTAAACGCTGTGTCGCGGGTGTCATGGACACATACAACCACAAATTACAACCAAAAAACTCACGAAAATAAATAAATGTAGGCGATACAAACATTTCTCCCGGCCCGGGAATAGAACCTGGGAACTTTGCGTGACAGTCCGGCATGGTAATCGTCCGGCCACGGTGGCAATATGTACCAAGAGTGTGCATCGGAGTTTAAGTCGAGTGATTGTACTGGCCATTTCAGCACCTTGACGTTATGCTCACGAAGGCAGTCGATGCAACACTCAAAACTTCAGAGGAATCTTCATATTTCAACACCAGCTAAAAAGCTTAGTTCTGCTGCTTATGCCATACGGAAGGTCAGACAACTTACTGACGTCAGGACAGTCAGAGCTATTTACTTCAGTAACTTTCACAGTATTATGTCGTATGGCATTTTATTGTGGGGCGCAGCTTCTAATTTCGAAACATTTTTTATCTTGCAGAAGCAAGCGGTTAGAGCGATTTGTATGATGTTATCGAAATTAAGTTCGCGTACTTCACTCATGGAGATTTTTAAATGAATCATCATATTAACTGATCACAACTTATTTACAATTGTATAATTTTTGTGCGTCTCAATATTGAATTGTATAATAAGTGGAAGTTTGTGTTACCGTTACGCTTTTTTATGCCTACGTTGACAAGTTGGGTTCTTCTCTTAGTCGGTTAATTTTAAAACGCTTTCTAGAAGAAATACACTTTGTTCTATTAATATTGTAACTTTACGTATATTTTACTCAACACATTGGCATTATTCAAAGTTTTAATTTGCATTTCGCTAACCTTACTGGACTAAATAAATGGTTACAAAAATATGGGTATAAAAAGCGGATAGATACGGGAAATATCTTGGAAAATGTCACCTAAAGAGTTCACCTTGCAATAAACAAATCATTTGAAAATTCAAGATTCTTTGTTGCAAAATAATGCAAATGGCTTATTCCGCTCGTATCACACGATGCCGACACAGTATAAAACGCGAGATGTTTATTTTATAATCACAGTTACACATCGTCTGTTAACTTTGACACAACATGGTGAGTGAGGATTAATTAAATAAATTAAATTCAAAATTCCAATGTGTAAAAAAATATAGACAACTAAAGACAACTATTAAAATATATAGTTTAATAGTTATTCTTACTTCATAATTTCTCCAAGAGCGGAAATAATTTGTTGTATTAATTATAACCTTTTTATAAAATTTTTATGAAAACCGTATACAGAAGTTTGTGAAATTACATCTTTTTTTAATATCGTCAAGTTGTCAAATTTTATTGAAATCAGTTATAAGAAAGTGGGTGAATGAGCAGAATTGGGGCCGATTCTGCTAGAAATATAATAAGAGTTGGACTATAAGATTTATTGAAATGACAATATCATATTGCATTAGTTCCTTTTTGTTTCCAACAGAAAGCCTTCATCGCCGTTTTCGCCCTAGTGGCAGCAGTTAGCGCGGATGTGTCCCATCTGGCCCGCTCGCGCAGTGGCGGTCCCGACGCTGAAGCTCAGATCTTGAGGCAAGATGCTGACGTTAACGTTGAGAGCTACAATTATGCCTATGAGACAAGCAATGGTATCGCTGCCCAGGAAGCTGGACAATTGAAGAACGCCGGCCGCGTAAGTATTTTTTTATTTTTGTTTCAGTGCTTTTATAAACCCTTTTCAGGGTTTGTGGCATCTAAACCCGGGATCGGCTTAAAGTTGCAACGAAACCCAAATGAATCCAAATGCGAGTATCGTGTGATCGCAGGACTACTGGTTTGATTGACTGATCCGGGAAAATATGTATAAAATATTGTTGTATACACTAAAAGAGGGGGAAGGTTTTTTCCCAATAATGCGACAGAAGAGGATTTTCAAAATAGAATATATATAGCATAGTTTACGATATTATATAATGCCGGTTAATATTGTAGACACGAATTTTGAGAATTTTTGTAATTCATAACCCCTAAATGGTTCCTTTCTCTGCAACTGTTTGTTTTGTAATCAGGTGCAACAGAATAAATAATTTTCCTAAAACGAAACTTGCGCGACTTTTTATGGCAATTATATTTTTAAAGCAGTGAATTCTAATGAGCTGTATTAAGTTGTTACCTATTTAGGTGTCAAAAAAAAGAACAAAACTATCTGAAATATAGGAAACATAAAACCATACAAAGACACGACAAGCAGCACATGTAAAAATTCGTACGGTCTGCTGGTTCGTTCCGTAGCTTGGTTGGTATAGCGTCTGCCACGGTATGCTAGAAGACGTCGGTTCGAATCCGGACAGATCGAAGGAATTTTTTGTAAATGTTCGATCTTTGTATTAATAATTATAACAAACTTGTGCAGTAATTTCACATAAAACATAATTGAATATAAATTAAATAAAAATTTATATAGGAAACATACAAAAAAAATTTATCAAATGTACATTAAAATCAAGGTTAAACATTGATGACATTTAACTGGCAGATGATACGATTAATATATGTAAATCGATTTTAATATCAGACCGTGATATTTCGTTTAAGGTCAGTGCGTTTCGCAATAATTGAAATTCAATCAGATTATGAAATCTGTCAGTTTAATCTGTTTTTATTTTTTAGACACTTTGACCTCTTTTCAAGGAAGAAGAACAGTTGATAATTTTATTGTAAAGCGATACAGCGAACGTCAGGCTACAAAAAATTAAAATTTTCTTCCCACACGTTCCAGATCTTGGTCCCGATAGGATCACATTTGCGAATATTAAGCTACTTAAATAAGTCATTTAATTATGATTTTTTTTTTAATACAGAATTATTTTATTAAAAATTAGATTACACTTTATTAACACTATCTGGCACCAATAATGATTCGAGTCAATCACTTATTTATGTTTTCATATGCAGGAGGACGCAGCCATCCAGGTCCAAGGTTCAAACTCATACACTTCTCCTGAAGGCCAAGTTATCCAGCTGCAATATGTCGCTGACGAAAACGGCTACCAACCTCAGGTAAAGTACTCTATTTAATTGTTCTTTCAAAAAATTAATTAAAATCACTCTTAAATTAACTCAATAGGTTAATAAAAGAGCTGCTATTTTACATATAATTGATTACACTGCATTATTGCGCAAAATGAAAACTGCATCTCGTCGTTCAGGCTCTTTAACGGCGTTCGATATTAGTGTTTGTAGCCCAATGTTCTTCAACAAACAAGCTGATAAAACTTCTCAAAATAAAACATATTATATTCTTTCAGGGTTCCCATCTGCCTACTCCCCCTCCTGCTCCCGAAATTCCTGACTACATTGTCAGGGCTCTGAAGTACATCGAGGCCCATCCTCCTCCACCAGAAAGCCCAAACGCAGCTAGAACGAATGCCTACGGTAGATTCTAATCTAAACAAGGCACCAAAACACTCTTCATCACTGCCATAAAATGTTAAACAATTACGTCTAGTCGCTACTCAATAAATAGTCGAGCAATAAAAGACGATCTATAATTATGTGATTTTATTTCAAGTGCCTTTACATTAAATTTATGAGACATCCAATTGTTTTAGTATAAATTTTAAGAATTTCATCACAAAAGATTATCACTGAGTCATATTATGCGCCATGGTCATGGGTTGACTGAAAAAGATAGTTAATAACTTAAGAGAGACATACACGCAAGGACAAATTTTAGAGAAACGCTAGAAAAATGATGAATTACGATTTGTTAATATAAACCACTGACCACATAAACCAGAGCTTTTAATTTGAAAAAAGAATGTCTTCAATTGTCTTTTGATTTCGTAACGTTCTGGTACATAGTCAAAGTCAAAGTCAAATAATCATTTCAATCAAAGAGGTAAAATGTTACACTTGAAAACGTCATTTTTTAAGCTACTGCTCGTTCACTACGCTGACCTCCCTGAGAAGAACGAGCAAGAAACTCTAGGTAACGCTCTTTTCAAATTAACTTAAATGCTATAGAATACATTTTGAATCATATGTGTGTGGAATCTAGACTCACGTTGTCTTTCCATATATCTTTATCTAACACGTAGTCTACAATTTCGTAATATGATTTTTTAATTAAAATACTTTTAATGTAAGTTTTAAACTTAGGAAATGGTAAACTTAATATTATGCTCCGGAATCTTATTGTAAAAACGTATACAGTTCCCCATAAAAGAATCGTTTACCTTAGTCAAACGAAAACGTGGTACCATGAGTTTGGACTTAGTTCTAAGGTTAATATATATCGTATTAATAGTTAATAGATATCTTCTTTCTTAACGAAGTTATGTATTTTACATGGAGCTAGTGGTTTATATAAACGTTGTTTTTCACTCACAACTTTAAATTCGAAAGATCTGAAGGGCTCTGCCACTGAGCCTGACACCCCGAAACATCAGTTGACAAGTCCCATGTGCCTGTAATTTCACCAGCACCCTTACCCTTCAAAACCGGTAAACAGTAACGCTAACATTACTGCTTGGTGGCAGACATAGATAAGGTACCGCTGTTTCCCTGGACGAACTCTTTCACAAGGAGCTCTACTTCTGTTAAAAATGTTATCATAATTCAACGTTTGACATGTTCATGAGTATATTTATTTTATTGTCAAGGATTTCTGTCACCTCTCCTTCTTACACTTACAGCGGTGGTATCTCGAGAAGAATAACATAATAACCTATCATAATATTCCGAACAGGTTTGTTTGTTTCACGTGCTCAAATTTAAGCTTGCAATACAAGCCTTAGTAAACCATGTAATTAAGTTAACCTTTATTATGCCGTTTAAATCCAATATTGTAGTTTCTGTTTACTTATTTTAGAATTATATATATGAAATTAAGTGAAAGGTGTTTCTGTCATGCCATTTTGCCATCAGTGAAAGCCATCGCCAATAATATAGCGTTATTTGGACATGAATTTAAATATACCATCAAGTAGTTCATTTTAGTTACAAATATGTAGGACTGATACATATTTGTTTTTATAAGATTAAGTGACGGCACGAACAAGTTGTGCGCCTGATGGTAAGCTACACGCCTGTCCATAACAGTTGTAGTGCCAGTCAGAGCTTTAAATCGCAAAGATCTCGTCTCCCTGAGACATATGACCTTATAAGTCCCATGTGCCTGTAATTTGTCAAGCACCCTTACCCTTCAAAACCGGAACACACTAATGCTGACATTACTGCTTGGCGGCAGAAATAGGGGAGGTGGCAGCACTTCCCTTGCCGAACTCTTTCACAACAAGAAGCTCTACTGCTACAAATTGTACTAATACTACTACTACTGTACTACTGTATACCACTATAACTACTGTAACCACACTCGTAACGTGAAAAGAAAGAGAAGAGAGTAACGTGAAATAATTAGATGAAACTACTTCACCCCTGCGTAGGCAGTAGCGGTGTTTAATTTCTAATTATATATCAGAATCTGACAGTAAGGGGACCGTGTTTCGCTAAGTTGATTTCGGAAAATCAAATACAGGCATTACAGTGCGATTACAAGTGCTTGTTTTGCACTTAGCACATACTTCTTCCTCAAATAGAAGTATCAACAACGTACTCACAAAAGTCAACGATTTACAATGAACTTTTTATATTGAATCAATACCTCTGTAAGCTCTACGGCACAAAGAAAAGTAGTGACATTTTTGTATGCGGTACTATTCAAGTACTGTTCGTGAACGGATTAAAGTTATGTTCAAATAGAAAAACGGACAAGCATAAAGTCTAATACACTATTTGTTTATACATTTTTCTTCGACTCACTGTAGCACATGGCTACTGAGCCGTTGGCAGAGGGTGCTCATGTTTGCCGGCGACAAAGCGGTGTGCGCGCGGGGCCAGGTAGAAAGTAAATATTGCCCGGTAACCACAGGCTTCATCATCAATGCATGATTTAAATTAATTTTAAGATTGTTGGTGTTAGGTTTGCAGAATTCTTAAATTGAAAATGTTCTTATTTCTTTATTATTATTTATAATTCACAAATTGTGTTTGTTTTAAAAGCACCTTTGTTTGAATTTCTTGTCACATATTCCAGCTTAAAATCGTGGATTATAGACTTGCGTTAGTTCACAATTAAAATGGAGGGATTGATAGTGATATATTTATAGACGACCTCGTAGACCTAACGGTTTGCACTGTGGGCGATAGATGTAGATTTCAGAGTCGACTCCCGGTGGGACCAATTTTGGAACTTAATAGATTGGTTCTGGTCTGGGTGTTCTGTGTAGTGAATTTCGTTGCTCTGGTACTCATAGTATAGGGAATTCCCCAGTTTAAGACCAGCCCATTGGTGTGGTTGTCTGGCACATTATATTTCCTAATAAAAAAAAACTAAAGTCAGCATGGGATCATAAATGTTCTGAATACATTGACAAGCTGTAAGTAACATCTGTGCATTCATTTCGACGTCAACAAATACACTGAGTTTCTAAGTCATTCGCGCGTCGATAACTGCCTACAGTCAGTGTCGACTAAATGCAGTCGGTTTCGACTGCATTCAGTTGTATACAACGACATGCAGTTTTTCTGGTAGCAGCCTTAGGCATACCGCAGTGTATCTGCTAATGTTCAGGAAACAAGGGTTGCGTTTTTCAATGTGACATGAAAGTTTTGCACACATTTTTGATTTTCTAGAACTCATAGTACGTATATTTATTATACAATGTTCCGGCGTTCCGAAGCCTTCAGCAAACCCAGGAGGAGGCTGAGATTCCTGGAGGAGTTTGGGCGGCACGAGCAAGATCCTGCACCCACCACACGCAAAATAGGCGCCTTGACATCGAATTGCGGACACCGCGCCAGCTCATATAATACCATATAGTACAACAGTACTGTTATCGTTTTACAGTACATAGAGAACAATACCACAACACATTACATTAACAATACATTGCAAACTTATTTCTGCAGCATTTTAAAGTACAGTCACCACTGGGAAAGCCGAACAGGGAGTTCGACACCGAGACCATTGGGAGTTTAAACGTTATTATTCTCGCCAAAGATGTCAAACTAGCATTAAAAAAAATGACGAAAGGTAAATCGCCAGGGCATGATGGTCTCTGTGTCGAGCACCTTCGGCACGCCGGGGCTCATCTCCCACGTGTACTTGCCATGCTCTACAACCTTTGCTTGAATCACTCATACCTACCTTCCGATTTGGTAAAGACCGTGGTGGTGCCTATAATTAAGAACAAGACGGGTGATGTCTCAGATAAGTCTAATTATAGGCCCATCTCCTTAGCTACAATAATAGCTAAAGTGCTTGACAGTGTGCTCAACTCATATTTAAGGAAACATGTTAAGCTACACGATGCCCAGTTCGGGTTTGTGCCCGGACTGTCGACAGAAACGGCTATTCTTAGTATGAAGCACACTGTCAAGTATTATACAGACAGAGAGACGCCTGTCTATGCTTGTTTCATGGATATTTCTAAAGCTTTTGACACTATATGTTACGACATCCTCTGGAAGAAGCTGAAAGGTGCTGGCCTACCGCCCGAGTTAATATCACTATTTAGGTACTGGTATTTAAATCAAGAAAATCGCGTCAAGTGGGCAGGTGAGTATTCGGCTCCTTGCAGATTGGAATGCGGGGTGAGGCAGGGGGGGTTGAGCTCGCCTCTGCTTTTTAATTTATATGTGAATGCGCTGATTGAGGGACTCAGTAGCATGCATGTCGGCTGCTTTGTTGATGGTGTGTGTCTCAACAATATCAGTTATGCGGACGACATGGTGTTGTTGGCTTCCTCAGTCACTGCTTTACGACAGCTGCTGTCTGTATGTGAAACATTTGCGGCATCTCATGGGTTCACGTACAATGTTAAAAAAACTGAGTACATGATCTTTAAGGCGAGAACCAAATGCCCTTTCTTTTTTCCACCAATTGTACTCAATGGTGTTCCCCTTAGGAGAGTGCACCAGTTCAAATACCTTGGACATTTGGTTACCGAAAACCTTAGAGATGATGCAGATATGGAGAGGGAGCGCAGGGCGTTGTCAGTCCGAGCGAACATGCTGGCCCGCAGATTTACACGATGTACAGATGCAGTTAAAATAACTTTATTTAGAGCGTTCTGCACTTCTCTGTACTCGTCGAGTCTGTGGGTGGGATATACTCAAAAGGCTTACAATGCTCTGCGCGTCCAATATAATAACGCCTTCAGGGTGCTGTTGCGGCTGCCGCGTTTCTGTAGTGCTTCCACCATGTTTGTTGAAGCACGCACAGACGGCTTCGATGCCGTATGGCGCAAAAAAACGGCCTCACTTGTGGACAGAGTGCGGGGCTGCAGTAACAGCATCCTGAAGATGATAAGTAGTAGGTACGATTGTCCTATTATGTGGACTCTGGCACAGAGGACAAAGTCATTCTTAATTATTAAGTACTAATATAGGCTAAGTATTACTAACA